GCATCTCTAGCCACTGGTAATTGATCACAAAGGCTTGAAAGCTTGTGTATGAAGTTTACATTCTGTGAGAAACAAAGTGTTATTTCCACTACTTTAAAATCAAGAGCAAAATAGTTAAATTTTGAGTTTGAAGATAGAGGTAAAAATCATTTGTTGGATGAGAATTTTAAAACTTTGATTATAGAAATAGATTAGTGTTCTTTCTTGTTTTGCCATTTCCACCAACTGGAGAGAACTCACATACTCCTGAAAGAAACTTGAAACATCTAAAAGCACCAGTTCCCATGAAAATAGTGCATCAAGATTGTGCCTTTGGCTTTATGCTAGCAAGTACATTGCATGTCTTCTATAAGATAAACAGTCAGGAGACTTCTGTTTCTCATAAGTGTGATCTTGGTTAAATCAGTTAATTTATATAGATCTTATTCCTATAACTTTTTAGGCAATGAGTTTCAATTAAGTGATTTTTAAGATCTCTTCTAATGTGACATTTCTAAGAATTTGTAACATTTTCAGAAAAACAAGGAGAGATGATTGACTTACAACTCCTCTTTCCATATTACACTTGCAGCCAGTCTTATTGCAATGGGACTTATTACAGGTGAGCTTTCCATAAGGGAAAAAGCAAGGAAATTCATAGCATTATTTCCCTTTAGGTGTCTGCTTTATTCTACTGGTAAGATTTTTCCAATGTCTGTCAGTTGCATATATAGATGGTGTATATATATATATATATATAGATATATAGGGGTGACAACCAAGAGGCTCAGATGAGCTCTTTCTTCTTTTAATAAATTCCATTGCAATTGTGTCATAATTTTATTTTATTTTATTTTTTAGATTTATTTTTATTTATTTATTTTTACAAGCACTGGGTACAGTCAGAAGTGCGGGAGGGTGAGAGAATTCACCAGAGCCAGAGTGGGGTGCAGAACAGGCAGAAGGACCGAAGTACACTGCTGAGGGGAGCAGCAGGCTGCAGGAGAGGTCTGCGCGCCGTGTGGGACCCGCCTCTGGTGGCCGGGGAGCAGCCGGGAAGCAGCCGGGGAGCATCTGGGGAGCATCCGGGGATCGAACCGGCGCGGCAGAGACTGCGGGCAGCTTCGCAACCCGGTGCTCAACCGCTGCGCCACCGGGGAGGCCCATAATTTTAAATACCCAATTTCATGAATAGTTATATCCTTTTTAATAGAAGGAAAATTAAAAGATGTATAATTTGTTTATATTTGAGAACACCACCTTTTATTTCTTCAGTTTTAAAGGTACTGAATGACATTAATTCACTTTGAGAAGTGGGAGGCAATAGAAAATGTTTTTGTTCTAAAATTTTTAAGACACCCTTTCTGAAAGATGAAAATGCCAAAGAAGTCCATGAAAATAGAAGTAAAAATACACTGAATGTTTTGCTAGAGAAAAGTATTTAAATACTGGAAGAGGATGACCGACAGAGAGAAGAATATGAAGTAAAGAGAGATAGTAGGAAGAACAAGTTTGTTGTTGGTTTTTTCTTGTAAAATTTGGAAAATAGATTGGTCTATTATTTTGTAAGTAGTTGATTTTATTGAGTTTTTAATATATCGTATTACATTTTGATGATTTTAAACTTTAGAGGTTTTGGAAATTTTCAAATTGAAATTCTATGAACTGGCACTGAATTTTTAAAATACATTTAATTTTATCTGTAATTTCTTTTTTTTTTAATAGAGGCTTTTTTAAATTAATTTATTTTATTTGTTTGTTTTGTTTATACAAGCACTGGGTACAGTCAGAAGCACGGGAGGGTGAGAGAATTCACCAGAGCCAGAGTGGGGAGCAGAGCAGGCAGAAGGACCGAAGTACACTGCTGTGGGGAGCAGCGGGCGGCAGGAGAGGTCTGCGCGCCATGTGGGACCCTCCTCTGGTGGCCGGGGAGCAGCTGGGGATCGAACCGGCGCTGCAGAGGCTGCGGGCAGCTTCGCATCCCAGCGCTCAACCACTGCGCCACCGGGGAGGCCCTTATCTGTAATTTCTTAAACTGAAATCATGCTAACATTTTTGTAAGACCAGAGATTAAATTTTTTTGAACACACTAGTTTAAATTCATATTTAAATCTTTTTTTCATAGAACTCTTATCTCAGGCATTTTAATTCTCCATTCCAACATTTTTTTTTAAATATTTATTTATTTATTCAAGAACTGGAGTACAGTCAGAGATGCAGGAGGGTAAGAGAATTCATCAGAGACAGAGCGGGGAGCAGAACAGGCAGATGGACCCAAGACAGTGCTGAGAGGAGCAGTGGGCGAGGCATGAGAGGCCCGTCTGCCTTTCCATGTGGGTTTCTCCCTGGTGAGCCGGGAATCGAACCGGCGTTGCAGAGGCTGCAGACGGTTTCACAGCGCAGCGCTCAACCCGCTGCACCGCCAGGGAGGCCCATTCCAACATGTTTTAAGAAAAAACAGTCACTTTTTCACTATATGATGTTTTTATGTAATATTAAACAAAAACTATTAAATTGATCACCAGTAAGAATTTAATAGATAATTTTCCAAAGATTTTTTTACATAAAAAATCTTGTTCTATAAATACTTAGTGTAAAGTTAGTAAAAGTGGTTATATAATTTGTTTTAAAAACAAATAAACAAACACTTCAACCTAAGAATGGCTTTTTCTCTTTAGCCCTCTATTTTGCGTCAATAAAATAATACTGCAATAAAAACAAAAGAACAACTTTGACATCAATCAACAATTTTGATTTTGAGTTAAGCCTGGCCCAATAGGGACATGTACATAAAGACCTGATTAATCTTAACTATTACTTCTGTATCCTGAGATGTCAAAAGTCACATTCTCGGGCCTCCCCGGTGGCGCATGGTTGAGCGCTGGGTTGCGAAGCTCCCCTAGGCCTCTGCAGCGCTGGTTCCATCCCCGGCTGCTCCCCAGCCACCAGAGGAGGGTCCCACATGGTGCGCAGACCTCTCCTGCTGTCCGCTGCTGCTCCCCTCAGCGGTGTACTTTGGTCCTTCTGCCTGCTCTGCTCCCACTCTGGCTCTGGTGAATTCTCTCACCCTCCCGTGCTTCTGACTGTACCCAGTGCATGTATAAATAAATAAATAAATCTTTAAAAAAAAAAAAAAAAGTCACATCCTCATATAATACAAAAAATTTTGACAAACCTTGGCATAAAAGAGGATTAGTGATACTCTAGCAAGAAGATACATATGCAGGAAAGCAAAGTAAGATCAAGTGGGACTGTTTAGATCTGAACTTAAGCTGCATTAAAGCTTCCAGAGAATTCCCTGTTGAGCAGAAATTGTTTTGGGGGCAGAAGACTTTAAGGCCTGAAAGACACAGGCCTCCAATCCTGTCTGCTAAGTTAAAAGAACTAATCACAGTTCGGAAAAGACATTTTTATTTTCAACCACAAAATTGTTCTTCATTCCTGCAAAACAACAAGAAAAGTGAAACTGGAAGCAAGCCAGGAGCTTTGCTGGTTTTTCTTTGGGTGTGAATTTGTTCACATAGCTCTAAGTTCAGAACATAATGTTATGTTCTGGAAAGGCCCTGGTGTATTGTTGGGAGATGTAATATCACACTGAGGAACAATCACTTTACAAAAGGAATTTTATATGCTAAAATGCAACCAAAACTATGTGTGTGTACCAGAAGCAGCAAACACATACACTACGTAGATACACACACTTACATGTGTATATTTGTGTGCATATGTAATACGTATGCAAATGCCTTCATTTTGGAGCTGATTAAAGAGATGAAAAGACATTTCTTCAAAGGCGCCAAAACTAGAATGTAAAATACGTTGCTTTCCATTATCAGTACATATTTTCTGATACTTGACTTGCCTTTAGAGTAGGAGAAAAGGGTGTGAATTGCTCCTTATGAAATTTTCTCCTACTGTGACTATTCAGATTAATCAATGGGTGGCACACCTTTATATTAGCAATAAAGTCTGCATTTCGGGACTCAAAGTATAACATCAATTATTTTTCAAAAGTAGTTGAAGCTGCTGACAGCTTCATAGCACTGTGCTCAACTGCCTGCGCCACCAGGAAGGCCCAAATTTGTCCATATTCTAGTAACATCTCCAAGAACTGTAGATAACATATATCTAGCAGCATACTTAGTGCATTTACCTGTGCAGTAATCTGCCATTTTGCACTTTCAGAGAGTTGAGGAGTGGAGAAAGCGGAGCAGAGGACAAAGCATGGAGCTTAATATACAGATCAAGTGATTGGATTCCTTTAGACCATCCTGATGCCATTTCATGCCTGTTGGTTTTTTCTTTTCAGTTGAGTTGCAAATTACTTTCGGGATGGACATTTTTTATGTCTTTCTTTCTTATTTATTTATTTTTTTAAATAGTATTCAGAATAAATATCTCTGTACATAGCAGGCATTCAAGTATACGCTTAATTATTATCATTTCAGTAGTGATATAATTATTATTACATTTCAGTCATCATGGAAGCTGTGAATTTTTTTTGGCTGTTTGGCTGGCCATTAAGAAAGCTTCAAGGATTTTTGGGTTTGTGACCTGCTATGTGGTTGTGGAAGAAACAGCTTGAACTTATGTTTCTGAACCATGGGATGGGTTGAACTCTCTTTTGGATCACCAACTCCAAAATTCAGCAAGTATCCCAGACAGTGCTGATAACAATCTGGTTTTCTTGACCCTTAACAAATAAGAAATGCAAGAATAAAATGGCATTTCATTTCATTTTTGAAAGCAGACTACTGGTTGGCTTTGACAATAGAACACTTCTTTGGCTGCAGGCATTTCCTCAGGCCAAGTCTTGGCTTTAGTCTAAAGTAACCTTTCTTTGACCTGAGTTAACTGAGGTTATTAATAGGGTGTGGAAAATGCACTGACCTGGAGCTATATAGGTTAGGTGAAGAGGAAAGAAAATGCAATTTCTTCAGGGGAGTGTGAAGAGGAGCTTGTGAAGAGCATATACAAGTGACATAGAGGAAATCTTCTCAATGGATTTTAACAACACTTTTGAGAAGCACAACAAAAAAGGAAGTAAGAGTCATCTATTTTCTTAATGTATGTTCATTATATTTATTCTGAGTGATTCATAAACTTTAACACTAATCAAAATCACTTTTGATACTTTACGTTTGTAATGTAACCATTTTTAGATAAAATGTCATGTGACTTTGCAGTCCCTTATGTTACTATTTTGGCTGCCCTTCTATTTGGCATAACCTAAAAAAAATCCTGCATAACTTCACTCAGATGAGTAGCACATTTAAATCTAATTAAGGAAGATAACAAATCAGTTTTTTTATCCACAATAAGGATACCACAACTGGCAGGTATAATTCATTCATCAATTCACTGGAGTGTCTGAGTGTCTGTCTTCTGCACAGCTGGCGGTGTTAGTCTGAAAGGCTTTTAAATATCCCTTTTGTTATACATTAGTGGAGAGGAAAATAGGAAAATCAAAGGATTGTCTTTTCTTTTTTTTAAAGGCACTGGTGCTACAGTTTTACAGATCTGTTTTGCTGATCTAGGACAAATTCCTAATGCAAATTAATTCACCTCTACCTAGTCCAACAACTGACACCAGGTTTAATTTAGATGGTATTCTTATTATACCTTGGGGCCACCATAATTTAGATTTGAAAAAAAGGCATCTAAAAATGTTCAGGCTTTCACAATTAGGGAATTTCCTGGGGATATTTGGTGGAGAGTTCTGAAGGTGATAGTTTGTACTTTCTTAGGGAAATTTTGGCACTGTGGTCTAGACCAGTGTTTCTCAAAATTTAGTGTGAATCAGAATCACCTAAAGTGGTTGTTAAAACAATCACTGGACCTCAACTTCAGAATTTCTGATTCAGATGGTGAGCTGTAAAGAATTTGAATCTGAATTTCTAACTAGTTCCCAAAAGGTACTGCCAGCTTTGGAACTACATTGTGAGAAGCGCTGGTCTACAATATACCCCACCCCTCTTAAAGGTCCCCCTATACTGTTGGCTGATCTGGAAAAGTTAAGGAATAGAGTTATGAAGTTAAAGAGAATAGAAAGGAACAGAGATGCTGTGAGTTGATTGGTCAGGCCACACACAGAAATGGAGGAAACTATGAGATCTAAAGACCTCTTTCCGTGCTACTGGGATTTATCTCTGCTTAGCTCCATAAAAGAAAGCAAAATTGACATTTATATGATGGCAAACTGCAAGGCACCCGCTGCCAGCATGAGCAGTTCTGACTACCCACTGTTATTTTTAAATGTTTTAGACACCCTGGGAGCAAGTGCAAAAAAACAGACTCATGATCTAAACAATATGAGGAAAAAGATTCCAGATAGTCCCCATCACACAAAGACATTCCTTTCCATTGAAGCAGGTTAGAAGTCACAGTGTAGTGGAGCAGCAATTACTTTAGGGGGGAAAAAAAAGACATAAAAGGCTTTTTTGTGAATATTTTCAGCCCTAAATATTCTCACCACTACTAACCGATGCAGTTGAAATGTGGATTATTTCATTTGGGAACATTTCTTACTCATCAAGGAAAGTAAGAAACAGTGTGTACTGCATGAGGGTGTTAGAAAAAGGTATCTCTGTTCGGAACATGTAAACAATTTCTCCCCAGCCCGCAAACCTTCAGCAACCAACGGCAATGGTCTTAGTGCTCAAGGTAAGGTGCACATGTGAGAATTTGGGTTGTATTTTCTGGGTACTATAAGTCCTGAAGAAGAACTCTGATTTATAGTCAACCAGTTTCAACAAGTGACCCTTGGCAGAAAGGGCCTGCTTTTTCAGCTGGCGCTGTTGTTGCAGTTCAGAGGCATAGCTCATCTGTCTCTATTTCAGGCGTCTGGCAAATGGAGAACTGTTTCAGCATTCTCCATCCCACTAAACGCTTACAGATGACTTCCATATTCTGGAGCATCTGCTGGTTATCTCATTTCTTTCATTTTGGGTCATTTTCCCAGTTGTGTTTTGAAAAGTCTCCCTAGCTTTTATTTTGTAAGCAAACTATTGTTGCTGTCATCATTTTTGGGAGGAATCAACAGATGTGTCTGGAGTTAACCCAGGAGACAGGCCAAACCTGTGGATAATCTGAAAAGAGAAATGGTGAGGTTTTTATACAGGAGACAAACAACAAAAAAAGTTAAAAGCCCAGCTGAATCACAATTGTAAAATATGTTCAGGAAATGATTCATGGACTGAAAGTAAACAGTCATCAATAATTTCAGGATCTTTCTTTGAAAGTTCCTATAAACAACACAGTATTCAGAGACATTCTATGCCATGTAGTTGCTATGTATGATGCACATATGTAATATAAATGTTGCTCATAACTTCTTATTATAAATGAGTACACCCATTCTTACCCTCACTGATGCTTTTCTGGGTCTAATGCTTTGCTCTATACCTTGTAAAATATCAAAACAGTCAAATATCTGGGTTCTTCCCAAGGGACTTTTTTCTTCATTTCCATAAAAGACAGACACATATAACTCATATTTATTCCAGCTTTTTCATTTGCTTTTTAGAGTACATGAATGATGTTCTGCATATATTAAAGCTTTTCTTGCTTCCAGTTAATCAGATATACGGAGCACTTACACATGAATTTGAATATTAATGTATTTATTTAAAAGCACAGTGACTAGTGCCATTAAATTTGTGATCTTGAATTGATTAATGCCCAATGAAAATTTCTTTGATGCAAACTGCTAATTGGACAACAAGGATGGGTGTTCTAATTGCAATCATTTCCTTCAAAAAACAGAAATCACAATGGGCATGTGATTAGCTATTAGTCTTATTTTCTTAAATTTTTAAGATATTGAAATACAGAAAAGATGAAAGAACAACATAAAAAACACCCATCATAACATACAATATTAAAACCCCAGCATTAGTTACATTTGTCCCATCCTTCAGAACACAGTATATATTCAAATTTAGCTGATGTCTCCTATCACCCTCTCTGCCATTCTGTTCCTTGTTCTTTCCCAATGATAATCGCTGTCCTGAAGTGAATGGACTTGACTTCCAGTCCATTTCTTATAGTTTACATGCATGTGCTTCATATTTATCCATAGCAACATTGCTTACCAGCAGTGAAAAATAACAATAAAACACTTTAAAAAAACTGGATATACAAAATACCTTGTAACTGCTCTTTTATAAAGAATTAAGTACACATTTTTATAAGTAAGTCATTTGAAACCATCAATCTTTATAAGCCACAGAACTATGTTCTGAATATCCATGTATCTCCAAAATTCATATGTTGAGATCCTAGCTCCCAATGTGATAGTAGTGGGAGGTGCGACCTCTAGGAGGTTATTAGCTCAAGAGGGTGGAGCTCTTTTGAATGGGATTAATGCTCCTGAAAGATCCCTGCCCCCTCAGCCATGTAAAGGTATAATGAGAAGTCTGGACCCAGATGAAAGATTTCACACCACCATTCTGAATTCACCCTGATCTTGGATCTGTCATTTCTAGAACTGTGCAAAATCAGTTTCTGTTCTTTACAAGCCACCCATTCTGTGATATTTTGTTGTACAGCAGCCTGAATGGACTAAGATACACAGGTTTTCTGTGCAACCTTTACTAGAACATATGCCAGTTATGATCTGTCTTAACCTTCTTGTGACTGCCCACTGGATGCAAAGATTAATTTGAAAGGTTCATTTGTTGCTTAGACACATAACAGGACAAAGGGGGAAGGCCAAACACTCTTATGAGAGTTGTCAGGGAAACAAAAACATCATGTTCTTTCTTTGTGAAAATTAGGCAAAATGGATTTATTTCAGCAGCAGTTTAAGAAAACACTTTTGTCATCTTTGGAAGGAGGGTTGATTCATCACATTGACACTGTCTCCTGCACAGAGAAATATTGATCTCTGTCCTTTGCTTTTGGACAGAAATTGCCATCAATGCAACCCTTGATGGCAATCTCTTTGTATGATACTGAAATTAAAAAAAAAATGGAAAAACTAAAATGAGACCAGTGTCCTTGCCATGATTCAGAGAATTGTTGAGAATTGTTGTTGCTGCCAGAGCTATCTATAGATTTCAACTGGTCTAACAAAGTAATGCCCCACATTTCTGATTGCTCTGTCTTACTCACTACTATTAATTCCTGAGTATTTTCAAGGAATTGACCTTTTTGCTATATATAACTCAGTTTCAGTTTAGCTAGTAGAACTCCTCATACAAATGTTGCGTTATCTGAGATTTCTGTGATTATAACGTCTTAGCCAGTGGACTTCTGGCCTTCTATGATCTCATTTGGTAGTGATTCTGCCTTATTATTAAGTATGAGTTTGCCTTAATGCAAAAATATTGAAAGGTCTTAGTAATAGATTAGGAATAAAGACCAAACACCTCCTGAGGGTCAATACTACAGACAATGCTATCCAACAGCAAACTTATTTATATAATGATCTACTCTGTTATCTTTTTAAAAACCAAGATGAAAAAGAAAACATCTTTATAAGTTCTTCTATGAATAAAGATTATAGCCAAAGGACTTCTTTTGACTACTAATGTTGATTACCTGCAAGGCATACTACCTTAAATTTTATCTATAGTTGTTTATATAATCCTATATTATGCTTTAACACCCCAAACAACAAGAAAATACCTGTCAACAGATTCTAGGAGCACAATTTAAATTAAAAAATGACTTCATGGAAGACTGATGACAATTTTAGTTCTTTAATCTATGTGTACATCCCAAATATATATTTTAGTTTATCAATGAGACTTAACCAGTTTCATGTGTTTGAATGTAAGACAAAAACTTCAAAAATAGTAGTGAAGGGGATGTGAATATGAGGGATATTTTGTATAAATCCAGTGATGAAGAAACTAAACTATTATTCATTTATATGATTCTTTTTCTCCAACTGTGCTGAATCCAACTCTCCAGGCAAGTTTAAAAAATACTACATGAAGGTGTGATGCTACAGAGAAAATATTTTTATAAGGTTGTAAACTTTGGTCTCAGACATTTTTGGATCGCTCATGATTGAGAATTTCAATACACCACATATT